CCCGCGGAACAAAAAAAAAAAAAAAAAAAAAAAAAAAGCACACATACTGTGTGAATTCATTTATTTGAAATTCTAGGAAATGCAAACTAGCCTATAGGGATAGAAAGCAAATCAGTGCTTGCTTGGGATTGGGGACCAGGAGGGATAGATTATAAAAGGGCATGAAGAGACTATTGGAGGTGCTGGATATGTTCATTATCTTGATTGTGGTGATGGTTTCATGGGTGTGTACATATGTCAAAACTTTTCCAATTTTATATTTTATGTTCAGTTCATTGCATTTCAATTACACCTCAGTAGAGTTCTGGTAAAAAAGAAAAATAAATAAAAATGCCTATATACTGTTTCATTGTACAAATATATCATAATTTGTTTTACAATATCCTATTGAAAATTGTTTCCAGTTTTTTTTAGCTGATAAAGTATGCTGTAATAAACATCTGTATATGTGTGCATGAATATGCAAATACATCTATGGGAAAAAGATTGTTGGGTCAATGGACATGTATGTTTGAATTTTGATGGCTCTGGAAAAATGACATCCTCCAAATCTTACATCAATTTATGTTTCTAATAGTATTATATGAAACTGCCTGTTTTCCCACACACTGTTAACATTCTGATTATTTTCCTATCTGAGGGGATGAATACTATCTCATTTTTATCTTTAATTATGAGTAAGACAAAAAACAACTTACTTTTGAAATTTAAATTATTAACTGATGGGTAACTGATTGACTTTACATGGTACTTTTCTATGGCTGCATTTACCTAGCAGTTTACTCTTTGGAAGTAGCACAGTAAACTAATCACTCCATTGTCTAGTGGCCTCTTTTCTCACCTATAATTTATAATGCTGATTACATATTACTTATAGAGGAAATAAAGGGGGTTGGCATTTATGAAGTCTAAATGATCCTCTTCAATAATTTCCAAATTTGTCCCCAACTTTTTCCAGAGCCATTAAGAAGGTGGAATGTTGACTGTTATGAATTTCCAATTTTATACCTTCTATTCC